CCATGAAGATAGAATAAAGTAAAGAAGATCTCTATAAAATGACATAAAGTCATTTCCAGGACATAATGTTCAGACAAAACAGTATATATAGGAAAAAATCTTTTATGTAAGACAGAAAGGGAAATGAAAAAAAAAAAACAAATCTGATTTTGGCAAAAAGAAATTCAGAAAGAATAAACAAAAATGTAATTGGTTACCCAGAATGGGTAGGGCAGAAAGAGGTGAAAGGGATAGAGAAGGAAATGATATTTGAGAGCACATTTGAATGGTTTAGACTTTAGGAAGCATGTTAATCTACACATTCAAAAAATAAAATTAAATTCTGGACTTGATCCTAGACTAGAGGGAAAAATCATGCTATGTAAGGAAACTATTGGGACAATTGACAAATTGGAAAATGGACTGTAAATTGTACTGTGGTTATGGAAGAGAATGTCCTTGTTCCTGGGGAATGTATACTGAAGTATTAAAGAATAAAAGAACACTACATTGCAACCTATTCGCAAAAGACTGAAAAACAAATTATGTGTTCACATGTTTGATATGAATATACATGTATGTATATAACATATACATATATGTATATAAAATTTTTTAAATGACAAAATGTTAAAAATCGGTGAATCTGAATAAAGGATTAAAAGTTCTCCATTATTCTTGCAAATTTCTATAAAGCCAATAAAGACTATTTCAAAATTAAAGATTTTAAAAACACGATCTAACTTAAAGCACTACTTAAAAACTCAGAAATCAATATTGCAGTGATAAACCACTGAGGGTTTTCATGTATACCTATGATGGAGTTATTTACTTATTTCATTGTTTATAGAAAAACACTTTTTTTTTTGAGACAGGGTCTTGCTCTGTTGCCCTGGTTGGAGTGCAGTGGCATTATCATAGCTCACTGCAACCTCAAACTTCTGGGCTCAAGCAATGCTCCTGCTTCAGCCTCCCAAAGTGCTAGGATTACAGCCATGTGCCACTGTGCCCAGCCCCTATGGTAGAAGATTTTAATGAATGTAAAATGGATCCCTTCAATCTCACATGCCTTCATTTCCAGACTATTGAAGGAGCAACAGAAATGCAGTTGTGCCTCTCATCCTGTTAAGCAATGCTTTTTGCCTCTAGCAAAATTTGCTCAGTTAGATAGGCTGTCTAATCACTTCAAATGCACTAATAGGTAGACTGGAGTTATATTTTAAGCTCAGAGTGTAGAAAATACTGACTTTTACATAAAATATAACAAACATGAAACACTTGAAATTAAACAGGCAATGTGATCACGAGTACTTACGCACTAGTTCTGAATATTTGTACATGAACCATCATAACCGCACAGTGGCTCTCAGAGGCAGAAAAGTGGCACAGGCCAATCAGCCTAGTATCCATTGCACCTCTTTCACTCATCAGTCTACTCCACCAGCCAAGAGCCCTTTAAAAATTACTTCACCACTTTTAACGTGAAGGTACCACAGATTAAATATCCTTTTATTTGACCCATACTGAGCAATAACATTTAAAACACACATAGGAGAGCAGTGTAGTTATCCCTCAAAATAGGCACTGATTAATTAATAGGCACAAGTAAGAGGCTGACAAAGCAGATGTGGAAAAATCATGATGTTAAGGTAAGTAGCAAGGAGAACTTATACCTTGATATGGAGACCAAAATATGTGGCTATACAACTGGGGGTTCTAATTCAAAAATTTTCTTAGTAGTCATTCCAACAGTAAGTGGAGAAACATGTACTTAATTATTGACAGGTTGTATCTGGAGAGAGGATGACCGACCGGTAAGCACATGCACTTTGATACATATTTCAATGCCTGAATTTTGAAGACTAAATATGCATTGCTTTTACAATTTCAAAAAAGCTAAAATCAGATCTAGTGCTCTGACATGGTAAAGATACACAAACGTGCATGGCAACAGCAAGCTGTGTGAACGGGCTTTACAGCGATCAAACTGAAATTCTATTGTTTTCAGACCTAACTCATAAACATTCAGTTCAAAATTATTAAAAGGAAATGAAATAAGCAAATGATAAAATGTGGACACTTTTCATTCAAGAATGTGGAAGCCCACTGGACACAAAACACCAAATCTTTATTATATAAAACTTTTATAATAATATTAACGGCAATTAGCTTTAAAAAACCACAAAATACTATGAATTAAATGTACAACAGATATACAAAGGACATCAGATTACTTTGGGGGAAAGTTGCTTTTAAATATTGTACATTTCGAAAGAAAAATTTGACATTGGGAGACTTTTTCTACTCAATTTTTCTAGTAAGAATTTTTCTCTTTATTAAGACATAAATTTTTTTTTTCTTCTTCAACTTTTATATGTAGAAGTTTATATGGTAATTTCCATAGTAACAGGCTGAACCAGACAAAATACATATGTAAAGCAATTTACGTGATTAGAAGGCTAATTACAGTATTACTGCATAGGTTTGCTATTACTGCATAGATTTAGTATTAACATTACTGCATAGGTTCTAATCTATTGCAAATGCACTAACACCTCAGTTTTTGACTTGTAGTTACATCACCCTAACTGCATCTAATGGTAGAAGCACCACCTTGTGGCAAAATTAAGAGCTTTTAAATTACAGAAGTCAGGGCTGGTTGACCAGAGGGAACAATTCTATGGGTTTCTGAGGCACAGCAATATTTTATTTCTTGACCTGTATAGTGATGCCACGAGTGCTCACTTTATAATTTGTTAAACCATATGACTTTTCTGTATGTACTGTATTTCACAATTTTAAATGTTTAGGAAAAAATTTTTGTATGTACCTGAATTAAAGGCCACATGTCTCAATGCTTGATTTTTCCAAGCACTAGTTATATTTCCTAGAATACATTCTTAACCTTGTAAATGCACTGTTGTATTTTTAGGATAGGAAACAAAACACCAGAAAGAGATTTATTCTTTGGTAAACAACAGAAGGATTCCATACAGATGTTTTCCTTAGAATGTTTTCATCCCTGTTCTCTCACAGCCTCCAAGAGCAAACGCAGGTGCTCCGCAACCACCTAAAGACCTCTACACATCTATACCAACAGGTCTGAAAATTTTCAAAAGGAAAAAATAGATTTTCCTGCATCAATATAGAATATCAAGGCTATATGATACAATTAACTATGCAATAGTATTTAATCAAAAAAGTTTTCCTCCATGTTTTATTTATCATTTCCAGGAATTGATACACACTATTCACAAAATGACTTGAATTAACTGGAGAGATTTTCACCCTCTGTGACTGCTATGGAGTCACCTTCCTTGGCCCAGCTAACTGCATCACATTTAGTATCTCTTTTCATACCTAGAGCAATTTTTTTAAAGCGAGAAAGCCTTATTCCTTTTTCCCAGGAAGCTGTTAGGATACTTCAGTGATCATCTCCTCACTCTTACCCTCACCCAGGCCCATCTAACAGATAAATGAGAAGAGCCTATAGCTGATGCAGCCCGTAGCTCGGTCTGAGCCAGTGTGCCCTGTGCAGAAACAACACTGCACCATCCAGAACCTGCCTCCCCTCGTAGCTTCCATTCCATCATGCACAGCAATGCTCACTCCTGATTTTAACCTCTGCTTTGTTCACATACTGGGGATATGAGATTTAGAGTGCAATAAAAATGTGGGCAGGTCCTCCTGAGAATACTTCACAGGACAATGAGTTCACTGAGTTAATGCTACCTGCTAAAATAACCCTTATGCTATAATTAGGAACAGAAAATATTTTTTAAGAAAGACATTAGAATGTTATAGAGCAACTTTTGATTTATGCCATTTCAAAGCTGCCATAATATGGAGGCAGCCACTAGCCAAATGTCTGCCTCCTATAATTTGGCACATTCCAGGTATGACTATTCTAATGGTCATGAGTATCGTTCAGTCAAGTGTTTGTTTCTACCTATGAAGAAATGTCAGGCTGCTGCACTGCCAAGATCTATAACTTCCTTAAGAAGTCTTTAAATATGTCTGCTTCATAAGATGAAAAGAAGGAATACTTTCAGGGGTCTTTTTACAGTGTTAAAGAGGCGAATGGGATTATTTAACTTAAATCTGAAGAGGCCAAATTCTTATTTCCCCCTTAAAACAAGTAAGAAAATATAAACTTAACATGATTTATTAAGATTTCTGGAATTGTCCATTCAGAAATATTTCATAGAAACCAAAGTTAAAATAAAATATTATTAATGAAAAGTCTTGGCATTGATATTCCACATTAGTTATATTTCAATATTTTAATATAATATAACAAGGTTCAATTGACCATTCTATCTAAAAAAGTTCTTTGATATTTTCAAGAAGATATAGTTTAAAATTTGTTAACCCCTTTTCTCCTAGAAATAGGTGCATGCATGAGAAAGAGAGAACCATTAACAGTAGAGAATAATAGAGAAAATTACTACAACTCAATGTGAATATAATCTTTTGAAATCTTTGCTACAACTGGAATAAAAAACTCAATAATTCTAACAGAATGTTCTTTTTAATAAAAACATATCTATTCAAACTAAAAGGTACTTCTAATCATTCAAAGTCTTATAATAAGCATAGAAAAAAACACATACTTAATAACAAGTAGTGAGCTTAGGCACAGTTTTACATAGATTGTTTTACTTTCAAGAAGTCAAGAGCTTCTAGGAGATCATTAAGATTAACGAGAAGTTAAATTTTTTAAGCACTTTCCCTCAACTTTGGCTAAATGTAACCACATTAAAATACTGACAAAGTCTACAATCATGAAGCAGAAATGTATAATGTAAATTTATTTTAATCCTTATCCGAAAATGATATTTAAATAAAGCTGTTACTATACCAGATTAAAAAATAAGGAGAACCAATGCTATTATACATGTTCTTGAGCTGGGAAATTTCTCCAGTAATGGAGTGATGTTCAGGAAATGATATTCAAAAATATAAATTCTTATACACTGGCTTTTTTCTGTTAAGCCTTTTTCAACTTCTTCAGTTAACAGCAATACTTCAAACATTTTCAATTATAAACTCTTAGCTTGCAATGTTTTGTTTTGTTTTCTCCTGTGTCTTGAAAATTTCTAAGTGCCATTAAATATATTATCTTCTGTTTCTTCTCAAAGAATTAATGTTCATAAAAGGATCATCGTCATCATCCTGAAATGATATATAAATGTTATATTAGGATTGTTCCACACATCACTGAAATAAAATAGAAGTTCTTGTGGGCAAAACAATATCAGTAAGAGTCATTTTCTTCCTTCACATGGGGTAGACTCTATTTTTCCATTTTCTTTACAAATGCAAAATACATAAATCCAATTAACTTCTTAGCAAGAATTAAAAATAAAAATTTCTCCTGCTATGTATATGTATGTCTATATATCTGCAATATATACCTATACATTTCCTTCAATTATTAACCTTAATAAGGCAAATGAAGTGTGGGTATGCTAGAAAAAAATATTTCTCAAGCCATTTATATATGGTTTTTGAATAGGTTTTTTTTTCATTTACATTACAGGTATATCTGCTATTCTGGAAATTCACAGCCAAAATATGATGAAGCCACATGGAGAAGAGCTACCTCAGAAATAGCTGTAATTCTTATTTACCATTACTCATTTAATGCTAGAAATAGCCTCTCAGACTGATGCAAAAAAACAGCCTAGCAAAGCAATCTTTCAAACAGTGTTTTTGAAAAAAGAAGTAGATGGAATATGTTAAGAGCTACCATGCTGCTGAGCTATAGATTATACACATAGTAAGAATAAACAGAAATATCAAATATTAACTAAGAATTCAGTGAAAGAGAATGAAAACTAACAAACCTCAGATAAGCACAGGTATATATTTTGATGAGGATAACATAAAATTTATTTTTATGTGTTCTGTAACTAAAATATTCAGAAGATAAAGCAAATTTGTTTAAAATTTTTTGATTTATGTTTCTTTTAAGACATTAATAAAAGAAACTATTACTTGATGTTAGGCTTTGTTGATGGTATTAACACACTCAAATGTTAGCTAAGTTAACTATCACTGGTGAGAAATGGATGCCTGGAGAAATACAAATTCACTTTCATTTATTGATTCATCTTCTGCTACTATAAAAGGCAGAACTTTTATGAACCAGAGATAAATCCAAGTTGAAGTCTAATCGAGAATTTGCTAATTGTTCTTTGCAGTCCACATAACTAGCATACAAATTTTTAACTATAACATATAAACCACATATATATCTATATGCTTTGGAATAAACAAACAAGCCAGTAACTGCTCGCTTCCCTCCTAGAAGTAATGTGTTAGTATTAATAGCAGATTGAGCTCTTGCTGCCATTTTTCTTCACAGCCTGAGTTGTGGTGAGCCCTCTCAAGCTGTTTAAAACCACAGGTGAGATTTAGGGAAGACAACAGCAGAAGTCGAAGCTCAAAATGCAAGGGGTAAGTCATGTGTTGCAACATCGATAAACCTTGAGGACACTGTGCTGTATCAAATAAGCCAGGCACAAAAAGACATATCCTGCATGATCCCACTTTTGTGGGGCACTTGAAAGAGTCAAATTCATAGAAAGAGAAAGTAGAATGATGGTTGCCAGGGGCTGGAGAAAGGCAGGAATGAAGATTTGTTTAAGGGGTATAGAGTTTCAGTTTTGTAAGATGCAAAAGTTCTGAAGATCTGATTTACAACAACATGGATATACTTAACACTACTGAACTTTACCCTTAAAAATGGCTAAGATCTATCCCAATTAGAATAGCCAATATTAAAAAGTCAAAAAGCAACAGATATTTTCACAAATGCAGTGAAAAGGGAACACTTAGACACTGTTGGTGGGAGTATAAATTAGTATAACCTTTATGGCGATCAGCATAGAGATTTCTCAAAGAACTAAAAGATCTACCATTTGATCCTGCAAACCCACTATTGGGTATCTACTCAGAGGAAAAGAAATCATTACATCAAAAAGACACCTGTACTTGTATGTTTATCACAGCACAATTCATAATTGCAAAGATGTGGAATCAACCTAAGTGTCCATCAACTGATGAGTAGATTAGGAAAATGTAATAATATATATATACCATGGAGTACTACTCAGCAATAAGAAACAATGAAATAATGTCTTTTGTAATCCTAGCACTCTGGGAGGCCGAGGCGAGCGGATTGTTTGAGCTCAGGAGTTCGAGACCAGCCTGAGCAAGAGCGAGACCCCGTCTCTACTAAAAATAGAAAGAAATTAATCGGACAACTAAAAATATATACAAAAAATTAGCCGGGCATGGTGGCACATGCCTGTAGTCCCAGCTACTCGGGAGGCTGAGGCAGGAGGGTCGCTTGAGCCCAGGAGTTTGAGGTTGCTGTGAGCTAGGATGACGCCACGGCACTCACTCTAGCCCGGGCAACACAGTGAGACTCTGTCTCAAAAAAAAAAAAAAAAAGAAATAATGTCTTTTGCAGCAACTTGGATGGAACTAGAGGCCATTATCCTAAGTGAAGTATCTTAGGAACAGAAAAATGCCACATGTTCTCATTTATAAGTGGGAGCTAAACTATGGCTACACAACAGCACACAGAGTGGTATAATGGACATTGGAGGGTGTCAGAGGGTGAGGGATGAAAAACTACCTATGGGGTACAGTGAACACTACTTGGGTGATGGGTTCACCCAGACTCTACCACTATGCAATATGTACATGCAAAGGAATTCAACTTGTACCTCCTGAATGTATTAAAATGAAAATATTTTTTAAATGGTTAAGATGGTTAAGTTTGTTTTTTTTTTTTTTGAGACAGAGTCTCACTTCTGTTGCCCTGGCTACAGTGAGTGCCATGGCATTAGCCTAGCTCACAGCAACCTCAAACTCCTGGGCTCAAGCGATCCTTCTGCTTTAGCCTGCCGAGTAGCTGGGACTACAGGCATGCGCCACCATGCCCGGCTAATTTTTTCTATATATTTTTAGTTGTCCGATTAATTTCTTTCTATTTTTAGTAGAGACGAGGTCTCGCTCTTGCTCAGGCTGGTTTCGAACTCCTGAGCTCAAACAATCCGCCCGTCTTGGCCTCCCAGAGAGCTAGGATTACAGGCGTGAGCCACCGTGCCCAGCCCAAGATGGTTAAGTTTTATGGTATGTGTTTTTACCACAATTAAAAATCTTTTAAAATAAAAAATAAACGAAGGGGGTGATGGGCCTAAGAGAAACAGCTTCAAGCAATTCAATAAAAACTAGCAAAGGCCCTTCAAATGGCAGCCACGGAGGAAAGGGAAAGGCCAGCACCCTACAGTCATGCAGCTTTAATTCAACTTAATTGAAACAACAAATGAAAAACGCAAGAGGCAAGTTCTGATTAGACCTCTTCCTATTCCTCCTCAGGCAAGCTAGGGAAGATCAGACGACCATCTTGGAGTTTCTTCCACACATCCTGCTAGATGGCATTTCAGTTGATGCCCAAATACCTCCACGACACGAAAATCACCACCATGTACCATCTCATATACGACACATGTAAAGCATAGAGTGAGTACTTAATAAATATTCCATTACAGTACTATTAAAAGCTCTTGGGATATCACTATCATTCCTCCAAATATGAATGGCAGAAGCTAAAAAAATATTCCGATCCTACTGTTAACCAGGCAAATTAGAGTTGAGTGAATACCATATTTGAAAAATTTGCAGGCCTTTTATATCTAAGATCATTATCTTGACAGGCACTCAACAGATGTTACTTGTTGACTCTTAACTTTAACTATAGTTCAAAGTAAGGTTATCAATGAACTATTTTTTAAAATAATTTTTAGCAACCAGCTTGTAGTCCCTATTTAAATTTTGCAAAGTTAAAAATTAATTGAAATTTAACAGTATTACTTTATTACCTCATCTGATTCAAAATCAACCCCTTTGGCTGTCTGGCTCTGAGACATGCGTTTGCTGGAGGACGTGCTTGACCACCTGGGGCAAAAAAAAAAAACAGACAATGAACTACAGGATCTATCAAATGTGCCTTTCTAGCTAAATTTTTCAATCTAGTAGCAGCCATGAATAACAATAACACACGATTCCCTTCAATCTACATTAGAGGCAGTAAAAACGTAATGGGGAGAAAAAGGGTTTGGGGCCAAGGTTTGAATTACAATTTTGCCATTTACTTATTACGTGGCTTTGGGCAAGTTATTTAGCTTCTCTTTGCCTCAATTTCCTCAACTGTAAAATGAGGATAATAGTCTTATAAAGATTAAATGTGTTAATATGCTTAAACACTTGGAACAGTGCCTGACATATATTAAGCAGTACAAAAATGATTATAGTTCTTTATTAAAATGTATCTACTACCAACTCTTCTGAAAATCGTGAGAACACTGAAATACTTTCCATTCAAATCTCAGTTAACAAGAAAATCATGATTCCTACTCCTATAAGGCTTGACTTGTAGTAAAGTCCTAATTCTTTATGATTATAGTAAGAATTTTAAGTCATCTTGGATCAGGAGCCAATAAACTTTGGCCAGCAGGCCAGATCTAGCCTGCCACCTGTGAGGTAAGCATGGTTTTCACATTCTGAAATGGTTACATTTTAAATGGTTATTCAAGTACCTACCTATATAGTATCCTCAATTTTGCCTCTTGGCCTGCAAAGCCTAAAATATTAGGTCATTAAATACGAAATGTCCCATTCTGAATAAAAGTTTAGTTTATTATATCTCAAACAAGAAGCAGTACAATTAATCTAAGTATATGCTTAAACTACTGACACAGTTTTGCCATCTTAATGGTAGCTTGTTCATGCCAACAGCAAAGAAGCCTAGAGAGTGAGTGGCAATGAAATCGTGAAAGGCATTTTCCTCAGCTTGTTGAAAATTGAATATTTTTTCTTGCAAGAAGTGGTCCAAAGCCTGGAAGAAGTTGTAGTCAATTGGCATAAGGTCTAGTGAATATGGTGGATGACAGAGAGTTTCCAAGTCCAGCTTCTGTAGTTTGAGCAGCACCGTTTTTGCAACATGTGGTCTTGTAAGAGAATTGACCAATCTCAGCTGCTTTATAGCAAGTGTCCTCATCATTTCGTCCAGCTGGTTGCAGGAGACATCTGCTGTAATCAACTCACCATGTTTCATGAAGCTGTAGTGGATAATATCAGCGCTGGACCACCAGACACCATTAGCTTTTTTTAATGAATATTCGGTTTTGGACTGTGTTTTGGCACTTCATCTTTATCCAACCATTGTGCCAAAGGCTTGTGATTGTCAAAAGAATCCATTTTTCATCACACGTAACAATACAGTGTAGAAACGGTTCACCTTTATGTTGTAACAGCAAACAGGCAAACTTCGAGATCATTTCTCTTCTGGTGCTCGTTTAATTCATGTGGTACTCATCTATCCAGCTTCTTTACCTTGCTCGTTTGTTTCAAATGGTCCAATATTGTTGGAAAGTAATGACAAACTTTGCTGCTGATTCACGTGTAGGCTGAGATGGATTCACTTCCACTATTGCTTTCGGCTCATCATTATCCACCTTGGTCTCAGGTCACCCATGTGGCTCATTTTCAAGATTAAAAACACCAGAATGAACTTTTCAAACCATCAAAGTCCTGTGCATTCATTAGCCACATCCTTCCCAAGCACTTCATTGATATTTCAAGCTGTCTACATTGCATTGGTTCCGTGATGGAACTCATATTCAAAAGTAACACGAATTTTTGACTTATCCATGGTTTCATAAAAATTGCTGTTAAAAAAAATTTGAAAGACAATCACAAGCCAAAACGTGTTTAAAAAAATGAGGAAGTGCATTCACAATAAAAAAAAAAAAAAAAAGAAGAAGAAATGTCAAAGTGAAATGTCAGAGCTATCAACTGTAAAACTTAGTACTTAAGGAAATCGGACATTCCATACTTAATAACCTAGTATTTACTGTGTAGCCCTTTAAGAAAAAGTTTGCTGACCCCTGTTTTAAATAAAAACAGTGTTTGTGAATTCTTATATAATTCACAATTTTATTAACATGTTTTCAGATGTTATTATAGCAAAAAAAAAATACGTACAAAAGTCTTGTCTAGACAAATAAGAGAATCAAGGGATCTTGTGTCAGAAGTAAACAGCAAAATTCACAGGTCCTCACACACAAAAGTAAAGGACAGGAGGATTTCTCAGGCAAACCTGAAGAGCAACTAAGGTTCAGGGGCAGAGAATCAGCAAATTTATCAAGGTCCACCCCTACATGGCAGAGCTTAAATACTTTAAATCTGCGGTCCCCAACCCCCGGGCCATGGACTGGTACCAGTCTGTGGCCTGTTAGGGACCAGACCGCAGAGCTCCGCCAGCCTCCCCCCTGTCCCCCCCAATGGAAAAATTGTCTTTCACAATACTTAGGAACTAGGGGGCCACACAGCAGGAGGTGAGCTAGCAAGTGAAGGTTCATCTATATTTATAGCCTGTCCCCATTGCTTGAATCACCACCTGAGCTCTGCCTCACCAACCCCCACCCCCTGACCCCCATCCGTGGAAAAAATTGTCTTCCAAGAAACAGATCCCTAGTACCAAAAAGGTTGGGGACTGCTGCTTTAAATTATAAATGAAATACCATACACACTCCGCAATTACTAAAAAATTCTGCAAAAATAATCTAAATTGTCATTCAGTTGCTGTCATTAGAAACACAAGTCTGCAAGGCTGATTTCAGATTTGTTTCTAAAATGTCCATTTCTAAATAGCCTCTCCAAATTTAAATGATTCTTATTGCTTGCACAATAGTTTGAGAGCTTAATTGCCATGTCAAGAAGCAACAACAGAGATGAGTTTGGGAGAATGCCTGGCTTGTGTGACTAATTGGGTGACCTTAGGTAAGTTACTTAGCCCACTGTACCTCACTTTCTTCACCTGTAAAACGGGGGGGTAGAGTTAAGATTATTTCTATCCCCTGGGGTTTTCACGAGCATCACACAAGCTAATTCATACGTAAAGTGCTCAGAACAGTGCCTAGCACATAGGAAGTGCTAAACAACTGTCAGTTATTATTACTACCTCATGTCTAAATAAGAAGTCAATAGACATTTATATTGCTGAAAAGTAAACAACCCAAAATGATAACAAAATATTTTTCTTTAATATCCTTAAACATATGTCAAACTACTAAAATAGTATTTTTCATTAATTCCTTGATCCACTCCTGAAAAAAATCCCAGAAAGCTAGACCAGATTTGTTTGCTTGTGCTTTAATTTACAAAGGCAAGAACAACCAAAAAGGACCTAGAAAGGGGCTTTCACTTCCTTCCACAATCTAAGGTATCCTGATATTCTTCCAATAAATCTCCTTTTCCCTAAGCAAATTTGCCTTAGGTTTCTGGCAGCTGGAACCAAAGGAGTCCTGTTTAATACACATAAATGAGCCTGAAAAATTCAAGTAAATCTTCATGAGCTAAAAGAACTCCCTCAGCTATCTACCACAAAATATATAAATCTATTTGCACCTGTGCCCATCTTGCTATTTTTTACTTCTCCTATAAAGGCCAGTATGGGCTTATGCAACTCTATATTCTACTGGATTTTTCTCATATCTTTCTTGTTGCTTTTTCTACTTTACCCAAGCTTTAAAGGCTGTAACTCCAGGATAGGAACACAAGTCTCTGCTCTCTCTGCCTTCTCTTTCAAGGTCATCCCACCCACCCCAATGGCTTTATGTACCATCTGTGTGCCATCTAAGCGGTAAATCTAGGTATCATTCCTAACCCCTCAGCGGAGCTCCAGACTCATATTTCCCATCACCTATAACCTCCCTTCATGTATGTTTCATAGGCATCTCAAACTTTTCACATCTAAAGCAGAGCTTTTGATTATCTGCCTATCATCCCCTATAAACATCTGTTCCTTTCCTCTTTTATGCCCTTCTCAATGTATGGCACAATCTAAATGCTCAAGCAAAAAACCTGATAATCAATCTGGATTCCTTATTCTCCCTTACTCCAAATAATTCAATCCAGCCTCAAGTTTTGTTATGTCTATTTTCAAAATATATCCCCAAACCATCTATTCTCTCCATTTCCCCTGCCACCAGCCTGTACAAGTCTCCATCATCTCTTAGCTGGACTCTGCTACAGCACCCTGTTTTCAGCTCAGCCTGTTTGCACTCCCACGTCCTTCTGCAACCACAAGGGTCCTTTATAAATGTAAGTCAGACATCACTGCTTCTCTCAAAATCCTTTCCTGATTTCCCAATGCATTTATAATATATACAATATATTATAAATACATTATATTTAAAATATATATTATATATAATATATATTATATTTATATATTATATATGTACAATATATTATAAATGCATTGGGAAGTCACCATGCTCACCTGATCCTGCAGCACGATTTACTCCTGCCTCTCCTTTCTATTCTTATGTCAAACCACCTCCTTTTCCACTGTTTCTTCTTCAAGAGACGTTGCATGTGCTTTTCCCACTCCTTTTTGCAAAGCTAAGTCTCTCTTTTTAAAATTTCAGCTTAAATATAGCCTCCTCAGAGGCTTTCCCTGACCCCTTCAAAGTGGATGTCTGTGTCCTGTGCCATTGCTTGTTCTTGCTGCACCCAGATCATCTCCTTGAATGCATTCTAACACATCCGCTAGGACTATACTTTCCAGGATCATTTCTATAGTTCGTTTCTAACACATTTGGTGAGCACCAGCTCAAACACTACCTACTTTCTTTGTAAAACCCTTGATGACCTATTGCAGAAAGACATTGGCACTTCCTTTAGATTGCATTACCCCTGAATAAAATTTATCTTGGTGGATTAGTAGTGCCCTGTAATTAGCATAGCACTTTAGTGTAAATTCCTTGAAGGGATATTTCTTTCATCTTTCTAGCATATGTTTAAGTATCTAATAAGTGAATGTGGGACTATATTTACCAACTTTTCCAATATTGGCCCTTAATTCACATAAAGCATATATTCTCAAAGGGGTAACATCATAGCCAGGGAACAAAAATTGGTTCCAGGGGTTGGGGGTGGGGTAAAAAATGGTATTACAATGGTTTTTAGCCCTCTCAAGCTCAACCTTACCCAACATAATTTCACTCTTTAGTATTTAATTTGTCTTGTTAGGGAGAAATTTAATTAAATCTAAATTATTTTTTCTCCTTAAGTAATGAAGAAATGGTTAAGAAAGATCATGAGAAAAAAGCTTGAGGAACACTGATGTAAATCTCCCTCAATCTCCCTCTGCCCTCCACTGCTCCTGTTCATGTCATAATCTCAGCTGCGATCATTACTTTCTACCCTACTAAGCCAAATAATTCCCATCTTTGAAACTTCAAGTAAATTTTACTCCCTTGGTGAAGCTTTTTCTTCTTCCATAGCCCACACTAACCCACGCTTCCTGTTCCTTTTTCCACCTGCCAAAAAGCACTCATATTTATGGGTCTGTATCATAAAACTTCACACATAATTATGTACTGACTCAATCATTCTTTAAAGAATTCAAAAATGTGTTCATTTTTCTTTTCCACTAAATTTAAGTTGCTCAAAGGCAGAAACCACATTAAACATTTATGTGCCCCATCAGACATAATACTCAAACAGAAAATAAGTATAAAACAGGCTTTTTCTTAAGTAGAAATTCTCATTAATTGAGCTTTAGTTAGTAGTATTCACCCAAAATGTTAACACATAAAAGAAAATGGTAACAGTGAATCAAGTTAAGCTTAACAGCAACAGGCAAAAAGCAAGGAGAAGAGCATGTAAATACTCTGAAGGCAGTATGGGTCTACATGATTCTCTTTTTAGTGTTTAGCACAGCACCATGTGTAACTAAGTACACAAAAATATGATAATGGGGAGGCAAGTGCAACATACATAACCTAAACATCTGTACCCCCATAATATGCTGAAATAAAAAAAAAATATATGATAACGACAAAAAGCTGAAATCACATGTTAACATAATACAAAATTATTTTCTATTAATTGGAGAGAATAATGTTCCATTAGGAAAATCACTGGGTAATGAAGATAAAAGGAAATGAAATATAGGTTATTTAAATTTTCACTGAAAATACTTGTAATAATGCTACATCAACTCTACAAACTAGCCCTTGGTCTGTTTTCACTCCTCTATATACTTTACTGCTAAAAATAAGTCTGTTAAATTTCAGTGGCATAGAAAAATGTGTAACTACAGAATTCTGGATAATTTTAATTTTTTTCAGATGTTTCTTTCTATAGGAAGTTCGTGCACCTACCTTTGATCTGTCTTTGAAGTGGTAGGAAAAATGTCATCTTCTTCCACATCTGATTCATCCACCTCAATCACCTAAGGTCAGGGGTGGGGCACAAAGCAACAAATAGTTTTTGTGGGAATGGAACACCCAAATAAAAATGGATTAAATGATTGAATCTCAAAGTGTTTTTTAACATACAAAAAAGCCAAAAAAAAGGATGTAGAAACAAAGTCAGCAGCAACTATTATATTAAAACTGAAGCTCAGCCTGAGCTCCATCCAATGTCTCTCTTCATTCATAAATGCTATTCTCTATTACATGTCTTAGCACACTTCTCTCCTGGCCATCTCTGGAGCGTGGTACCTAAAGGAACACACAGATTGGTGAATGACTCCCATGTGCAGACCATGCCTGTGATTTTCTTCTTAAGTTCTGATTGGTCATCAGACCATCAGTGTTCCACCTCCAACTTTAAATGAGGTATCAGAATGTGTGAGACATACCGGATATCTTTCTATTTATCCCTGTTAAATATTGTTCGTTAGTGTTAAGACTCTATAAAGATATTTCTGATTCTTGATTCTATCATTCAAAATACTAACTATTCCTCTACATTTGTGTTATCTTGACACTTGATATGCACATTTCCTAAGTCTTCATCTAACTGAAGTGCAGATGACGATGAAGCCAAGGACAAAACACTGAACAAACAGCACCTTGGGGCCAAGGATGCTGTTAGACATCTCACAATGCACAGGACAGTCCTTCACAACAAAGAATTATCTGGTCCAAAATACCAATAATGCCACTATTGAGAAACCCTGATAGAGAGGGAATTGTATTGGCTTGGGAGTTAAAACACATGGGTTTTGAAAGTAAGGTAATAGGAGAGTCAAGCCTATACCAGACTCTTTTTAGAATCCAAAGGAAGGACAGAAGGCCTATGTTAAATCTAGAGCAGAACACAGAGATCTTTAGACTCCAACCTTTCAGTCTGTCTTGAGTCTAGCATCAGACATTAAGGCACAAGCCAGTATTATGAGAATGTAAGTAACAAAACGAACTCAGGTATAACTAAAACCTCCTATAGGCACTGAACTCACCCTCAATATTAGCATTCCATGCATGGGCCCTTTTGGTTCAACACTGTTATCCTTAAAAATATTACCGCATATTTAACAATTATGGATTTCTAATAATGTGAATCATTATTTTTAAAAAGAGAGAAAAACAAAACAAAACAAAAAACCAAATCCTAGAAACCCTGAGTAAAAATAACTGCTAAAGCCTCCCTCAGCCTCCACTATGGCAAGCGGTAGCGGTAGCAGTGTGGGGAGGTGGGGAGGGGGGTCCGCAGAGGTGATCCTGAATGCCATTCTGCTCGAGAATTCAAGAATTTTGAATACTGGCTTAGATATGGAAACTTGGTCTATTTGTGTATGGCTCTGTGAACAAGAAATTAACCCAGAAGCTTTATCATCGGTTATTAAGGAGCTTCACAAGGCTACTGAAGTACTAAAGGCTACTGAAAATATGACAAGCTGACTTTCTGGAGAAATTCTGATGAGATATGCCAAGCTCTGCAAGAGGATTTGAAGACTGCTTTGTAGTCAAGAATGTACAATGAAATTACTGCATGCATCAGTGTAGAAAAATTTTCCTTTTTAAAAGAATTATAAAACCATAGCTTTATAAATTAGTGGAAAGTGGGTTACAGAGAGAACTATCAAATGTGTTTACATTGCATCTTACTCACTTATTTTTAACAGCTATAATGCTTTGGCATTATGTTCATATTTATGTATTCCTTATTTATAGCTCTGATAGCTTTAATTTTCTAAGCAATCTATCAGATGTGCACATCTGCTGTGCCTGGTTGAAGTATAGTGGAACCCATTGGTAGTCATGTGTAGCAGTTATGACTTGTTGACATTTCCATTATAAAGTTTAATTTTGAATTGTTTATGCATAAAAACTGTGGATTTATGTTGTATTGGGATGGAAGCTGACAGGATTTCAGCTACCATTTGTGAATTTTTATTTAGATTCATTATGTATATCAGAATCTTGTTTTTTTAAAAATAAGAGCATGGAAAACATTTCTAGTAATCTGCTCTTTAACAAAGAATATTCAGCTTTTTAAACACTTTATTGGGCAGTTAATAATGTGAACCAGATCATTTTTGTATTGATTGAAAAGTAAAACATTTAGAAACTTAGATTTTTAAAGGAAATGACAGTGCTTAGCTTAGTATTATTTATAGTTTGAATAATTTAAATCTAATGAAAATGTTAGTTGAGAATTTTTTTAAGTTTTATACCTTATAAATGAAGGCCTACAAAAATAATGTATAAAATGAAACATAGCCAACATGCAAAACTCCTGTTTACTTTTATTACATAAAAGTAATTTGAGTGCTTACCTAATAAACCTTGAGTGGTTATTTAATAAATCACTAGATAGGTAGCATGTTTCAACAGATATTGAATATTTTCTGAAGAAATAAGGATTTCCAGTTATTAAACAAAAACTAATCTAAAGTTCTAAATTAGGAATTATAAGTATGGCTTTTTGAAATCATTTTGTGTGTCATTATTTTTACCCTTAAAGCTTTAACTCATCAAAGTGATGATTCAAAGATAAATTTTAGAAAATTTAAGATAATATTGATTCTGTTCCTATAACAGAATCTCAATGAAATTTTTTTGGCAAGACTATGGATTTAATGATTTTATTGTTTCTTAAATTTTAGATTTTGTTAGATACCATTTAAACGATGGTATAAGCATTCACTCTTTAGTAGCATGTTTTGTTTTTCAGACAAGCTGAAGTGGTTTTAATAAGACTGAGTAATATTGAAATAAAACCTTCTCTGCTATTTTTAAAAATCTAGGCTTTTGACCATTTTGACTTTTTAAATGCATGCCATTTTGCCAAGTGCACTGCCAGGTCTATTATTGGCAGAACAAGTTGAGAGATAAATAAGAATTTATGATATTTGATATTTTTTGATATATTTGATAATAAACACTGCAAATACACCATGTTGTTATTTATAAAATCATAAAGACAACACATTTGTTAACCTCCAAAATTTGTATATACTTCTAGGCCATAAGAGTTGATAGTTTTATTTATGATTTTGTAGATTAGATTAAGTTATTCATGTATGAAACAAAGCATGAAAATACACTGAGAAGGGAATATGTTTACAGAGGACTTCTTTAATGTGTCATATTTCTTAAAAGTAAACATGTATTTTTAATGCATACTTAAGTAATGTTTAAGAAGCCAAACAAAATAATGATACAATGCAGTTTTGCGCTTGTTCTCAGTGACAATAATGAAACCATTTTGGTGATACTGGCATGTTCAAAGAAAAAAGATAACCGGTAAAGTTCTCTCCAGTGTGAATATTCCATAATTTTTCTTCCTTCATTTACTTTGTAAAACAAAGAGTTGACAACTCATAATTTAGGAAAACATAAATTACTAAAACACAACTATAAAACTTTTTTTCTTACCTCTGAATAATGCTTAGTAGCAACATTTCGGGAGGGCTGCTGTCTTGTAGATTTAAAGACTAGAATGAAAAAGACGAAACGTGTTATTTTTAAAATAACTTAGAAAGACTTGCACATTTCTTTAGCTGAAGGTTTTCTAAGTCCTATCTGCAAAACCTATGATGACTAATTATAAAACCATTTATATTTTTTAAAATCTAAAGGGAGGTGAAATTGTATGTTCAAATAACTCAATGCTTAGCTGTCAGTCTCATGACTTCCCAGCTTGTTCAAATATAGTTAATAAGCAGTGCTCATAAATACACCCACACTAAAACTATTTTATAGAAAGATGTCTCAAAGATAAACTCTGATCACCTAACCAACTGAACTACAAATACACTGAAAGTAAGCCTCCTAATCCCTTCCTTCTTTGTAGTCAGGATACCCTTCCCTGTGGCTGTATTAGGAGCCATGTGGTTCCAGAGGAGCTTTCTCATTCTTGTCTACCTTGGCAGCCATACTGACTACCTAAGAAATACACCAGAGGAGAATTCTACAAAACAGCGTATCTTTTATTCCATGATAAAAGTTCCTTTGAATCTATACTTTTTGTGCTTTATAAACTTAGATACTTGAAATTTAACTAATCCTTTATCTTTCTCCTTCTTTTTCCTTGAGATCAAAACCTATAATAAACTTCAAACACCTAATTGAGGTTTATTTTCTCCTTAGCCTTACCAGTTTGCTAGTATCAAAAAAAAAATCTCCTCCAAGTTGACCCACAAACTAAATAACAGGGGAAAGAAAGAAAAAGAAAGAAAAAGAAAAAGAAAGAAAAAGAAAGAAAAAGAAAGAGAAAGAAAAAGAAAGAAAGAAAAAGAAAGAAAAAGAAAGAAAGAAAGAAAGAAAGAAAGAAAGAAAGAAAAGAAAAGAAAAGAGGATTTTAAAAAGAAGAACACTCAAATAATTCCACAAAGTTCAAAATTCTCCAAGTCGGAAAATATCAGGAATCTTTCTACCCAGCCTAAGTTTTATTATTTGCTCATGTTTCCTATTCCAGGTCCCATCCCCAATCTTATGATATCTGAGCGGAGAGATGAGGGGCAGAAGCAGAGCAGAGTTCTTATCTGCTTTACTCAATGACTGCTCTCACATCCCACTCTACCCAAAAGGCAAGACAGGGCAACTGAATAAAAGTCAGTGATCATAACGCTTTGAAAGACTATTTCTGCTCAATATTTATTCACTGACTCCTCAAACTCTGGAGATTCTTGAAAATAAGACACCTTTCATTTTATCCCCAGTAGATAGCAAAAGGTGAATAAATATCTGTGAAATAAATGAACTTTATCAGAAAAATAAGCACCATGTTTTGTTAGGAAGGCAACATAGTGTGATGATTAAGAGCTCTGGTTTTAGAGTTGACTCATTTTGACTTAGTAGTTTGACTATGGCCAAGTTCATTGGCTTCTTTAAATCTCAATTTCCTCACCTGTAACATAGTGTTAATATTAATACCAAAATACTTCATGCAAATAACTGTTGACAGAATAAGAGGTAGTTAATATAAATAACTTTGGCAAGTGCCTAGCAGGTAGAAAGCATTCAAAATTATGTGGCTATTATTAGTAGTAAATGTAGTAGCAGCAGTGGTACTCATAGTGGTAAATTAAACGTGAAGGTAGTGGCTTCAGAGCTATCTTTTATTCACTTAGTCACCGTCCTTTACTGACTAACTTCAGTGGAAAAATCTGGGCTGTCAATTCTTATATATGTGTAATTTCTACCTTTCTCAGTAAAATTTCAGTACAACAATACATCTCCATACTCCATGGAGCTTGTTATAATAGAATTTGACTTTTATTTATTTCTTCACTCCTCCATTTATAATAGGGATCTAGAATTTATAGTCTAATTTGTTGCTTCTGTCCCAAAGTGATGGCAAGTATAGTTAGTACCCCATGGTTATTTTGCCAGAGGCTTACAAAACTTCAAATCTAACCTGATAAAAATGTTTCACAAATTCACATTAAAAAGTCAGTTCATTTTTTTTTTTAAAGGCCCAACACTGGAAGTAATCAGTTAAATTAGCAAAACCGTTAGATCAAATCAGTTAAAGACACATTTAGACCAGTGATTTATATAACATACATCTTCATAAACTTATTGCAGAACACTGCCACTGATAGTACTAGCAGCAAGCATCTACTGAATTTGTACTAGGTGCTATGATAAGTACTGCATATACTTAAGCTCATTTAATATAACTACTCTGTGAAGTCAGTACGACATCTCCTATTTTATAGCTAAGGAATAACAACAGTCTACATTTATTGGGGGCTTAATATGCATAGAGTCTGTGCGAGGTACTTCAAATGCATTTTCTCATTAATCCTCATAATAACCCAAAGAGGTAGATACAATCAGTCATTACTCAATCTTACAAATGAGAACACTGAAACTTAAAGATGTAAAACGTCACTAATCTGATGGAGGACAAATAGGCAGTAAATCAAAGGAAACAGGATTCAAACCAAGATTTTTCTGACTTTGGAACTATGCTCTTAACCTTTACGCTATATAATCTCTAAGTAATTTGTATTCAGTCCGTTCTCAGGTATTGAAATTTAATGAGCACCTACTATGTGCCAAGCACTGTGGATACAATGATGAATAAGAATGACGCAGACCCCATTCTCATGGCCCCTACAGTGCAAGGGTGCTGAGCCAGTAAGTGAAGAACTGGCTGACAGACAAAACCAGGCCTGACTCCAGAGCCAGGGTTCTTAACCACAATGCTATGCTGCAAAAGGTATCACAGCAAGATTTTTGCCTGGAACATAATTCAGGAAATCTTAAGTTTTATATTAATTTGGCTTACATGGCCTCTTCACAGACGAATATTATTATTTTTAAAAAATTTAGTTAATTTGTAAAACTTTTAAAGCACCATAACTGGTCTCTATAGTCTTTCTACACCAATAGAAGCTTTATAACACGCTATTAATGGGTAACAGAGCAGCAGTCACTAAGGAGTGTCTTTGAAAGTCTCATTGGCACAGTGGTTCCAACGGAAGCTGATGTTGCAAAGTAAAAAAAAAAAAATGCTCATAAAAACCTGTATGAGATATAGAGTCCTAGATGCAAAAGAGGCAGCCACACATGTGTTTTAAAAAAAGAAAATAAGGATAAAACCTCTGTATCTGTTCACTGTAGGCTCCAGACAAACACTTCTGCTGACTACCCAAAATGCTACCTCAAATATTTAAAAAACAAAAAAATCCAAACAATTTCTTAATGCCATTGAAGAGATGATCACATAGTGAAGAATTACCAGGCCAAAACTGAAGAAAAGCTAGACTCACAGAGGCAAGCAGAGTCCTTTCCCTGAGTTCACCTTCAATCTGGGAAAATGTGAACACTAATTTTGAGAGTCCAGGAGGGGAGGGGTGAGATACTATAAACCAAGACTTGCCCCAGGTGGGAATCCTGATGCATTTCCCCTTTTGCTTAGGATAGGATCCCAATGGTTAAAGAGAGAAGCAGAAGTAAACAGGATTTCATAAGCACATATCACCTGACTGGTGCAAATAACCACCAGATTATAAATTTAGTTCAAAGCAGTCTAAGACTTGTGGTGCCCTACGAGCTTGGAGAAGCAAAGATGAATGTTCTCTGGAGGAAGACAGCTTCATCCGAGGTGTCAAATTATTGCTACTGATAATTTTCGAGGGATAACAGATAACAAAGCATGGAACGAAATAAGTCACCATAAATAAGAACCAACAGAAACAGAAATTAGAGACAAAAGAAAGAGGCCAAAGACATTCACACACTAGGTTATTAGACACAAAATACAAGACAAATATCCTTACTATGCACACACAAAAAATTAAAGACAGACCTAAAAATATCTGCAGGGAATTTTTAAAAACTATTACAAGTGATAAAACATATTTAAAAAGAACCAAATAGAATTTCTATACCACTCCCCAACAAACAATAAAAATTAAAAATTCAAAGGACAGTTGAAAAGAATAGATGAGTGGATTGGACGACTGATCAGAAGTAATTACTTACACTGTAGCACAGGAAGAGAAAACAACAGAAAATACAAGAGAAGTTATGAGTCATGGGAGGATAGAGTAAAAAAGTCTTGTATTTATTTCACTGAAGACCCAGAAGGAAGGAGAAAAAGAATAGTACAGACATCATATCTGAAGGATAATAGCTAAGGATTTTCTAGGAATGCTAAAAGATACCAATTCACAGATTCGTGAAGCCCAATAAATCCTAAGGAGGATAACAAAGAATACCATATTTCAATTCATCATAGTGAAACTAAAGAACACCAAAGACAGCAAACTGAGGGAAGAATACTTAGGAAAGAAAAGCAGTAAGCTTAACTAGTATCTGATTTCTTAACAACAATGGAAACCCAAAGACTCACTTGAAGTGATTAATTCTACCCATGTGTCAAGGAAAGCTTCATATGAAACAATCAAGCCAGGACAAAAAAAGGCAGTTTGGGCTCAGGTAAAGGTGGGTAATCGACAACATCTATGACTTTGTCGGTTGCATGCTATCCAACTGTTGGTGGTTTAACATGGAAGTATTCATATTTTATTCACTCTCTTTTTCTATGTTTCTCTATTTCCTCATTTTTTATAACAGTAAGAATAACTAACATTCATTCATTCATTAATTTACTTTAACTCCATGTCCCCTCATTCACAACACAGACCAGGCACAGGGCTGGGGCTGAGGTGCATGTCGGGTAGGCTTACTCTGCCTCCTCCTTCTGTACAGTCAGTATAAGAACATAGCCTGTGGTAAGCACCAGGAGACTAATAACGCTAACATTTCATAAATGCTTACTGTGTACCAGGCTTTTTGCTCATTTAATCTTCAGAATAACCCAATACGGTAGAGATTATTATTCCCAACTTGTAAGTAAACAAACTAGAAGAGTGAGTGACTTGTCTCAAGTCACAAAGCTGCCATGTGTCAAACCCTAGCTGAAAAAGTGAGAAAACAATTAACCTCAAAGAATAGATAATATAAATAAAATACATGTGAATATATTCTAAATGCTAGGTAGAAAAAAAATCATCACCTATCTTAACATATACTTTTTTGTAATAAATATGACTAACAACTTAGGATAATCTCATAAACTGTAATATTAAAAATAGTTTAATAGATCCCCTTAAGTCAAAGCCAATTTTTAGACCACAGAACACACACAAATTAATTCCAAGACCTTAGCCATAATTTTTCTCAAGTGCAGCTCACCTGACTTGTCTTTATGGACAGAAGAGACTGACAGAAGCAGCACAGGGAAAGCAAGAAAACCGCACATTAACAGGCAGTTCCCCTCTCTTTCGACCATTGACAGTATAGTGACTGCCTGCCTCAAAGAGTGGTAACAATAAAATTTGTCTAAAAGTAAGGAATTACAAACATAATTTTTAAAGCTTACACATTTTAATAGCTCTGATGCATGGCAAAGATATTTTAAGGACTAATTTATCTGGTGATCCTAATTGCCCTTTTAAGTCTCCCAATGATGGCAACACAAATAAATGAGGGTTCCTAATGGGGATTACCTTGGTCCTCCTACGTTGGAATTGATAAATAACTTGCAGTCTATACTTACCATCTAAAATACACATATTCTTAGATGTTGACACAGTAGCCTTTGAACTCCTGCTGCGAGTAGTGGTCTCCAGACCAGTGCCTGCTGTTAGAATAATGAGCAATCAATATATAATCCTATCACAGTAGCTGTGGTGTTTTTTTTAAAACACAATACCAAAACGAAAGCTAAATAAAGTTATATAAAATAGTTTATTTATAAAAACCCAAAGATACATATGAGAAGAAACATTTAGAGTCTGAGCAATCAATTTTCAGAGACTATTCTTTTAGACTGTATTTGGTTCATATTTGTCCAATTAAAATTTAAGAAAAAATTTTGTAAATGTAAGGATAATGAAAATCATCATTAGAAGATGGGGATTTCTCTCCCTGGAAATTTTAAAATAAATTTCTATTCATTTTACCAGCATAAAAGTCCTGTGGATAAATATTTAATGGAAACAATTTTAAAATATCCCTGGAGATGGATTTATATAATGTGTCAGGAAGTCACTGGATCACCATTTTCTGTTTGTTTGAACTATTCACTGACAATAGTGTTACATTAAATACAATAATGAAAAATAATGTTAATGATTACTTTTAGAAATCAAATTGTCTGGGGGTAATGTTATTTTTTTTAAACAAATTTTATGACACCCACTTTATAAGCATGTGGGTATTTGTATCTTATGACAGCAACTAAAATAATAATTTTGATGGATCTGGAATTTTCCTCCTCCTGCCAATGGCCATTAGCTAGCCATTTTCCTTAACAACTCATATTTGCCTATCACCTTGACATATGAGTGTAAATATGACATTAAATGTACCCAGAAGGTACTGTGAGAGAACACAGTGAAGCTTTTAAAAAATATGTGTTAAGAACAATTAAAACCCTATGGGCATGTGGCCATTCATTTAAGTAAAAGGTACATGTCAGAACTACATTAAAGATTGTCTTCATGCATTATAAAAATAAATTTTAAAAAATTGTGTTTTAGGCTGGGCATGGTAGCTCACGCCTACAATCCCAGCACTTTGGATGGCCAAAGCGGAAGGATCACTTGAGGTCGGGAGTTCAAGACCAGGCTGAGTGAGATCCGATCTCTACAAAAAAACAGAAAAATTAGGCTATGATGGCACACACTTGTAGTCCCAGCTACTCAGGAGGCTGAGGCAGAAGGATCATTTGAGCCCAGAGTTTGAGGTTGCAGTGAGTTATGATCATGCCACTGTACTCTAGCTAGGGCGGCAAACTGAGACCGTGTCTCAAAAAAAAAAAATTGTGTTTTAGAATTAAAAACTCATTACTCAATTCTGACAAGATAAAATTCTGTGTTTCCCACTCAACTGCCAAGTCTGAATGTGCAAAAGACTGTACTCAGTGCTAACCTCTTCCTCTTTGAGACTCTCCTCTTGATGCTGAATTCTGCCCTCTTCCTCCTCTTCGACCTCGTCCTCGGCCTCTTCCTTTGTTGGCTGCTGCTGAGATGCTATCATCAGAGTCATTGGCCATCTGTTCTGCTAAATCTATACTCATAAGGTCATCAGCACTAAAGGCAGAAGCAGAGTCCTCTGACTGAGATCTGAGAGCTCTGGCCCTATTCATGGCCTGAGAGGGATAACAAGGAGAAAGTACACATACGGAGATAATGCAGCATCCTGAAAATCATTAATGTAGTCATTCAGCTAAATATTTAATGTTGTCAAATTGTCTATATTATTTTTCATTAATCATGCTATAAAAATATAAAGAACTTCCCCAACAATGAAATTTAATGTTTTTTAATACTTATTATTGTCAGATCAATTTATAATACTATAACATCTACAAAATGAGACTTTTTGAAAAGGTTTACTAAAAAAAATAAAATTTCACAGATTCAAAACTTTCAGAACTAGAATAAATACTGGCAATCATCCCTAATTTTAGCACATCGTTTATAAGAGATTGTCATCATTTAAGCTACTTTTTAGAATGGCTCTTAATAAATAACAAGAAAAAAAATTAGCTATTATCTCTGAAAGATAAAATGGGTGTTTTTCTTTTCTTTTTCATTCCTGAATTATTACAAGTTTATTAATACTTTTCCTATAATATTACTTTTGTAATCAGAATAACATGAATAATAATCTTATAAATATATAAGAATTAAATAGAATATATCAACAGGAAACCTAAGAAAGAATAAAAACCAATGTCACAGAAATCGGGGGAGGAGCCAAGATGGCGGATGAGACAAGCCGCCAGTCAGAAGGTCTCTGCAAAAAAGACGAATTTTAGAAGAAAGAGAAAAAAAATAAGTGAGCAGAGAAACATAGATCGGCTGAGGGTCAGAAGGAAGGGTGCCTGAAACTACAGGAGACTCCACGGGAAGACGCTGCGGAGGAGAATTGGAAGGAGAAAGGTGCCGAGAGGCTTGGAGACCAGCGACAAGGGTAGGTGGAGCGGTTAACTTCCCCCTCCCTTGCATCTCGGACTGCTGGTGGGCTCCTGAGCGGCTGGAGAGACCTGCCCACACCAGCCCAGAGACGGCTGCCGCCAGTGAGCAGTGGCCTCTTGCGGACTCAGCGCCGGGCTCCCAGCCCCTTCGGGGCACCTCCCCGGGCGCAGACCAAAGCCTAGAGGCAGACACCATAGTGCTCCATTCTCTCCTACCCCTTCCCTACCCGTGGGTGCCCAGAGAGACAATTTAGCCATCACACGGAGGCATCTCCAAGGAACGGGACCTTTCCTTTTGGGGCCGTACAGCAGACTGAGGGGTACTCAGACTGCGAGGTCCCTACCTGCCAGCCCTCCCAGGTGCTGCTTGCCTGGGGACTCCAGGAGAGTGGGGCAAATCCCGAGGTGGAGTGAAATCGGTCCAGCTTGGGCGCCCTGTAGGTGATTCAAGACCAGCACCTCTCCCCCTGGCAGGGTCAGGGATTGATCTCCAGGGTCCAGGGGTCAGGCCTGCAGACCAGACCCTGTACACCCAAGTCACGATCACACTGCCCTGGGGCACGGAGGAGAGATCTGTGAAAGAGCCTACTGAGGAGTATGTGCCTTCGGGGGCAGATCGGTGTGCCTGACCAGCAACCCTCCTCCTGGAAGAGGGCTGTGCACCCAGCTCAGGCTATGATCCTGGGTAGGGAGCCTCCAGCCCACGTCACAGCCAGGGGAGATCCATTGGCCTGAGGCCCCGCTTGCTGGCAGAGGCCTGGGAGAGGACACGGAGAGGGGAAGATTGGAGGGGAGCGAGACCTGCTCCAGAGTGTGGGTCTTGGACAACCCCACCCCCCAAGCCCAGACTTTCAGATGAGTGGAGCCATTTCAGCCCCTCCTGGCAGCTCTGCACAGAAACAAAGAGCAGAACTTTGACCCCTGCTAACAGCAGCTGTGGAGCCTGAGGGCAGGCTTATCCAACCAAGCCCCACCCAGACTCACTCCCGGTCCTGCCCCCACTGAGGTGGAGAATAAGAACAGCTCAGGTTATGATGCTGGGTAGGGGCCTCCCGGCCCATGTCACAGCCAGGGGCGATCCATCGGCCTGAGGTCCTGCTTGCTGGCAGAGTCCTGGGAGAGGCCACAGAGAGGGGGAGAGTGGAGGGGAGAGTGGAGGGGAACGAGACCTGCTCCAGAGTGCGGGTCTTGGACAGCCCCAGCCCCGAAGCCCAGACTTTCAGCTGAGTGGACCCATTCCAGCCCCTCCTGGCAGCTTTGCATAGAAACAAAGAGTAGACCTTTGAACCTGCTAGCAGCAGTTGTGGAGCCTGAGGGCAGGCTTGCCCAACCCAGCCCCACCCAGACGCCCTCCTCCCACTGAGGGGGAGAATAAGGACACACCTGGAAATCCCAGGGCCCCACTCACCACCCCAGGCACAAGAGGGCCTCTCCAGAGGAATAAGAGCTAGCTACAGGACCTAAAAACAGCACCGCAGCTCGCTCCTCGCTGCAAATGCCACCTACTGACACGGAGGTCATCCTGCACACCCTTTTACTGCATCTACTGATTCATCATAAAGGGTGTGGTCGAATCTCACCCACAAACACCACCTACTGGCTCAGAGACTAAACAGGGCATGTCATTTTCCAAACGAAAATTTAAAGGCAAGAAGGAACAACCGATCCAGATGGGAAGGAACCAGCAAAAGAACTCTGGAAGTATGAAGACTCAAATGGAAAGCACACACCCAAAGAGGAACAACAGCTCCCTAGCAATGGACATTAACCAAACTCAGAACACTAAAATGACAGAAGAAGAATTTCAAACATGGATTGCAAGAAAACTGAATGATATCCAAGAAAAAACAGATAACCAACACAAAGAAACCACAAAAAAAATTCAGGACTTGGAAGAAAAATTCACTAAAGAAATTGAAATATTAAAGAAAAATCAAACCGATCTCCTGGAAATAAAGGACTTATACAGGGAACTACAAAACACCG